TACTCCTGCTACGACATAATAATTATACATGTATTAAGAAATGTAAGTAGCATAAAAGGCACATGAAGAAGAAAAGAGAAAAATACAGAGTACAGAGCTTCCAGCGCTTCATAGTTGACTTTCGAACTCAAAACCTGTGAAAAAATTATATTTTTTATCAAAGCATAGGAAATATTGATATGAACAAAATATATTTATTTGTCATTGGTGTATGTTAACAAAAATTTCACAAATGCAAGTGCATGCAATGTTAACCTGTAACTTAACATAGAGTACCTTTCTTTTAGACATCTGATGGGTTGTTTCAAGAGTCTGTGCAGGAGTCTTGGTTTTAGCTTCTCCAGCATTTCTTCTTCTTCTTTCCTTTATTTGATATTGCATTATAGCAGGGAAAAGTTTTTAGAATGTGAATTCACCATATTATTTATAGAGATAAACTATTCAAAATCAAACTGAATTGACAATTAAATTGGAATGCTTTTGGCATCATGAAACTGTTCTAGTGTTGCCTATCCTCTTTAATTTACAATCTATTCGAATTATTATCATCATTAGTCATCAAAGACAGAGTAAAAAGCTGAGAAACCAGTCAAAACTACAATGGAGCTATGGTTAGCAAATCTAGAGAAGTTATCAGTAGGACAAGATTGATCTATTGGAGAGACATTTGGAGAACTATCTACCCACAGGTTTCTGACTACTAAGTAGTTTCATGCAATATAAGCTGTGCATGAAACTTACCATGACACTGGGGTTTGACATAATAAAATGGGCATGGTAGAGAATAGTTCGCCAACACAATAAAAGCAATGACACTGGTAGAGGACACATTTGTCAAAAAAAATAGATTTATAGATAGTAGATGCTTTAGTTGAATACTAAAAGCACTTATCAAAGTGTGAATCAACAATGTAGGACAAGAGCTCTGATACCAATAAAATGCAAAACAAGCGCTTTGATAACAAATCTAATATATGACAGAAGATAAAAAGAAAAGAAAATATTTTTTTTCAAAAATTTAATAATTGTAGAATAGAAAAGTGAAGATTTAAGATGAAAATAAAGCAAAAAATAACTATGCTACTATTTGGATAATCATCTTCACTACCATAGGCGGCACTTGCAAGAGTCAGAATTGAGTATTCGGTATTCTCTGTCTAGATTGCTTATAGGAGGACAAAGAAAATTTCTAACTTCAAGCATAAATTCGGGACATGAAGAAAATAAAAACTAAGCAGCCAGCCAGGAAAGACATATTCATGCAAAATACAATTTTAGCAAAACCCTGGAGCAACATTAAATTGATCAGCTACATAACCACAAGTGAACAAGCCCACGTCACCATACCTTTCTGGACTTTGCCAGGGCTGCTGCAGTTGCTTTAGCAAGTTCCTTGGCATCTAACAGATCTTCTGAGCCATTTAAAAAATTAGCTTTATAAGCCTCCTTAGCAGCTGTAGCAGCAGCTTCCTTGGCTGCTTGTGCCTGCTCAGCATTAGAGTTAACAAATCATATTGACTAATAAAAAAATCTAATGAAGTGATGAACACTCAGGAAATTGACCCTCATCACCTCAAGATACTCTCTGTTCATTTCTTCCCATATAATCTTTTTAAGTTCCTTCCCCTCTTCATTGTGCAGGTATCCATCAACCTAGCAAAAATATTGCTTCAGATGGATTAAAATATTTTCATTATGCAGCCAACACAAAGGTTCAATAATAGAGAGAGATTCTGTAAGAGAACTCTGAGCTTGGCATACCCAAGAAAATTACATCAAGGATGACATACCTCAACATCATCAATATCAGAAAAGTTTTCCATCTCATCATCTGATGAGTCACTTGAGTCCTCTTGTTCACTGGAAGCGAATGAGTCCACACACTGATGTCCTGCAGATCCTTGCAAAAAGTCAGAAAATTGTCCAACAAAGCAATGGTAAAATAAATACAAAAAGAAACCATTAATGTTAATCGATTTGGCGAATAGAAGATAAAGACTTCAAGAAACTAGTTATCATACCAGCACCTTCAGGTTTATTTGAAGTCCTCCCTTCAGCTTGGCCAATATCTTGAGTCATACTAGCAGAAAAATGTTCCTTGTTCTGAGAAAATAACACATAACATGGACATGAATTTCAAACCAGAATAGGCTGACAACACATGATATAAGTTCAAAAAAGATACAAGTCATCATGCAATGATACTACAAAGAACATCTTCTGAATCAAACTTATGAACCTCTGAGATGGTTTAGAAGATCTCCCAGGTGATTATAAAACTATTTAACTGAAGCCTATTGCATGACTCCACTACTTTACAGAAACTCATAGAAAATAAGAAATCTCGCATTCACATGCGACAAAATTTTAGGTCAAAAAGGATCAAACAAGACAGAAAAATGAAAAACAATCTCTTGGTGAATACATAAAAAACTAGAGAACAAACTCAAAGGGTACATGATGAGGCTCCTGTTATGGAAGATGCCTGAACAAATGTTGGTTAAAAGTGGCTAGGAATGTCAGTGAGTTTCAGGCTGTTGTTCCATTGCTGTGCTGATAAATTGTGCCAGCTGGCACAGATCCAAAGCTATTTGCCAATACTACAAGGTGCCGGCTGGCACAGATCCAAAGCTATTTGCCAATACTACAAGGACATGGCAGCAAAAATTAAACCAATGACTTGTTTAAACATGATAGTAAACTTGTATGGAAATCAGTAACATATAAATCAAACAAATGGTTCAAGTTTTGATGCCTGTGGTAGATATAAGGAATAAATCTATCAAACTGTAAAATGTTGCAAAATTTCATTTACTTCACCAAATCGGAAAAACGATTCAAATTGAAACTAGGTGAATACAATAATGTGCATCATTCACTATGAATGAAGTAGATCAAAGTGATGTCAAGGTGGGTCTAAGAAAATCAAACATTGTTTCAAACAAATGGGCAACCCCTACCAGGAAGAAGATGAACCCTAAAATCAGCAAGGTCCTTCTGTTTGCAGAAAATCCCAATTCATGCTCTACGCTGATGGTAAACTCCTCAGATTTTGATCTTGATTAAAAAAAAGTAAACATTAAATATATGGTACAAATCTCAACACTAACCATTCAAAACGTTAGTAATTTTTTACAATTATTTTAATAACAAGTGCAGATCTTTTAGTGCTTTTTAATTTTCTATTGGATAAAGTTATGTCACATATTTTTTTTCATAGGTTTCTTTGTCAAATTTTTATGGTCGCTTAATCATTCTTAAAATATCCCTGATTACTCTATTTTTCTGGATAGTTTCCATATTTCCTATTTAAACTTTTAAAAGTAATATTTTGCTGGAACACCATTTGGTCTAGCTCATACTATCTATTACTAATCCAAAATTCCAAATTCAGTTGCCAATCCTGAAACTAATCTTTACTGTTTAGTTTCCAAAACTTAATAAAGGATAAAAGATCAATAAGCAAAGGAGCAAGGTTGCCAAACATTTTTCTAATCATAGTGCATTTTGAAATTAGAACTTTATCAAGTGGAAGGGGCAAACAACGTACAATAGTCATAAGAATAAAGCATAGAATGCATTAAAAAAAACTTATCTAGCTTTTTGATAAAGAGTAGAAAACTAAGACTAGAGTTTGCTCTAAATGATGACTCACATTAATAGATCCACGCATCTCGCTGATATGCTGATTATCTAGGTCAGATTCTCTCATCTTTTTCAACTGTTTTGTTTTTTTCATTCTAAAATGACCAAATGTTAATGGTCCGAGGAGAGATTGAAGAAGACCTAAAAAAGATTTTAATAGAAACTATAAATAAAAATTTAAGTACTCTGAACTTCCTAAACTTTGTTGTTTATTTTTTCGATCCTCTGCCGCTCAGCCTGTTGAAATGCTGGAGGTTCAACACCACCTTGACCTCCTCCTGGTATTTTAATGAACTGCAGAAACAAAGACGAGTATGCCAACATAGTTATTAACAATAGAAATAAACTAAACGAAGAACAAGGATGCACATTATCATGACATTTTCTGTAAAGTACAAAAACCCACGAACTAACATGCAAATCCATAGTACTCGCCTAATAGATAACCGCCATAATAGATCAACAAAACAAAGACAGGTATCTGATCATAGTTATTCATAATGGAATTAAACTAAAAGAAGAACAAGGTTGCACTTTACAATGGCATTTTCTGCAAACTCCAAAAGCCCTCGACCTAACATGTAAATCCATAGTACTCGCCTGATAGACGACCACCGTAACAGACACCCAAATAAAAGAACCGCAGGATAATCCCAGAAAGGGAAAGAACAGAGCTTCCGCATCAATCAGATCGAAAAGCTCAAGAATTCAATAAACACACAAAAAGAAACCTAGGGCCACTGACAGAGAGAAGCGAAAGAGAAATAACCTGGAGATGGATAAGGACCACCACGATCGATGGCCACCCCTTCTCAACGCCGGCCGCCAGGCTCGCGCACGAAGCCACGAACGAGTTGGTCGAGAGGGCGCTCGAGAGGTGAGTCGGTGCTCATGGGGTTGACGAGGCACGGTTTTATATAGCGGTTCGAATTGGGTCGGGTTTGCTATACTTGACCAAGGCTCGGCTCAGATGAAGGCCTATCTGAGCCGAAACCGGCCCGATTAAGGCCCGCAATTGGGCTAGAATCTTGTACGAAATAAAGGCTTACAACGATACGACAGATTGCAAGTAACATAATCCACATCAGAACCAGACAATCTCAATCAGACGGTTAATGGAAACCTACGCCCTCTCAGATCGAGTCCGGTGATCCGCTTGCATATAAGCGACCTCTTAAAACAAGGGTTTATAACGATCCGGTAGAATTAATCATAACAAATGAACATTAGAACCATACGATCTCAATCAGACGGTTATTAGGAATCTACGCTCTCTCCTTTCCGAGTCCGGTGCTCCGCCGTCATATAAGCTACCTCTCACCTCCTACTCTCCTACTTTATCTGCTCTATAGCCATCGGGTTGGTTTGTCCGTAATACATATTTTCCAAAGAGGCCCTTCTTTCTTCCAAAATTACGTCGAACACTCTCTTTGCGTCGCCGCCGCACCCTTTTATGGGCAAGCGGCTCCCGGAGCCGAAGAGCTTGGAGGACGTCGCCCGCTACGCCGCCGACAGGATCCGGAGGACCAGAGTCGCCAAGCCCCCCCTTAGGCCTGCGGCGTGGAACAAGGAGACGACGTCGGCATCCGTGATGAACTTGGCGGACCTGCCGGAGGCCAGCGTCCCCCTGAAGGAGGTGGTGGCGGACTGCGCCCGGCGCTGGTTCCAGGATGCGCTTAAGGAAGCCAGGTCCGGAGATGTGTCGATGCAGATCCTTGTCGCTCAGATGTACCATAGCGGATATGGGGTGGCCAAGAACGAGCAAAAGGTGAACCCTTTATGTTGTTTTCCTGGTATTGGATTGGTCAGGACGCTTTTAGTTGACGGCGTTTGGATTCTAGGGTTTCTTGGAATGTAGTTTTCCGATTTTCACAGTACTTTGGGGGTTCTCCGATAAAGTTCGCGTTTTTTACTTCTTTCACAGATTTGATGGTTAGGGAGAATTTTTATTGACTAGTTCTCAGATGGTCGATTATATTTGTGGGGTTTGTGAAGAGAGTAACGAGTAGAAGATTGAAGCTTTTGATAGCATATTGATGAACAGTATGTAGCTAAAAACAAAAGAAACGTGAAGTTTTGATTGCTTGGTAAGTTTTGGTGCGCAGCATACATGGCATAGCAGGCTGTATCTATGATGTCAGTTGCATGCTCAGCGACTTAGAAGCTCCAGGAGTTTGTTGTTGGAAAATTCCAAAATCTTCTTAATTACCAGAGAAATTTTATATATGTTGCACAATTTCTAGCTTGAATTTTGAAAAGTGCTTATAGGATTTCTTGTACAGGTGATGTAGCATGATTCTATTTCATAATTCTTATCTCCTACCTCTTTCTAGACAAAATTTCCCTTTTCTTGTATTCCCTGTTGCCAGAATCTTGATAACTGACGAGTTGGCATTTCTCAGGCAAATGTGTGGATTACAAAAGCCTCCAGATATCGGTCAGCAGTTTGGAAGGTCAGCGACAAACATCCAGGTATCGGCCTTGTATTTTTAACATAAAAATTCAAAATTTGAACAGAAAAGATATATTTCTTTTCTTGCATCTGTCATCCAGAATATATATCTGTTTGTAGCACTTACAACTCTGTTGTTGGTTAACTTTTGTTGAACATTGTATTAATATGTTTTCTATAGGTTACAATGCTAGTGATTCTGATTCTGATGAAGAGAAAAATTAAGCTGGTCATGATCAGGTATGACGTCAATTCTCAAGATGCATGTTGCAGCAAGTTAAAATTATGTCTATCATTTATATTATGCTCAGCATCACCTATATCATGCTCAAGATGCCCATCTGTATTGAATCATTTGGATTTCTATTAGGTTCCAATGTTTTAATTTGAATGAGAGATCTTTATCTTGAACATTATTGAGGTCATATAGTGCTATGCTATTTTAGAATATTTGGAAATGACAAACATATTATGGATGTTTAGAACTGTGTTTCTGGAGTACATATGACTGAAACTCCTCTAACTGAGATTATCAATTTATAAGCTTGTTGAGGAAATTATGTAAGGGTGTTTTGCTGTAATTATCAGTATTTCTGTTTATATTCTCAAAATAATTGTGAGAGGTCTTGCGTTAGAGGAGATAATATAATTAGGATGATGGTAATAAGAAAGAAAGGAAGATCCAGAGTGTTACAATCACATCTGAATAGACAGTGGGTTGCTTCTGCTGGATGCCCAACTTACCAGTACTGATGCTCTAAAGGAATGCAGAATTGCAGGACTTTGTCAAGAAAATTCTCGTTTCCCCTTGTTGATCACTTCATGGGATCATTGATTAGAGATCTTCTTTTTTTTCTTTTATGATTATATTGGCAATTGGTCTTTTTGGTTTCTAAGGCTCCTTATATATATACACGGTGTAATATTTCTCTATCTTGTGGCAATTTTTGAAATTATACTTTTGGTTCATTGTGTTTACTTTTTATCCAGTCACAAGTTGGACACTCAGATATGTGATTAGGAATCAGTAACATGTGACACTTAAGTTGTCATGAAGTCAGAAGCAAGAAGCAAGAGGTTACACATGAAATCTCTTTGAATGGGGTGTGCTCTGGTTTGTGCATGAAGGAACTGGCAAGGACTGTTTTACATGGATCAGGGTAGCATATAAACTCCAAGAATGTTAGGCAGAATAAAACGAGGAAGTTGGTGTACCGAATAGGAGAGGTTTTGCCCAGTGTCTGCTGCAATGTGCATTGTCTGTCTCTTTTTGTTCATTCCTGATTTACATCTGAATCCAAACTCAGTATTGATCTATGCCATCCACTTTTAGTTCTTCACATGTTTTTCAAGAAATAGCTTGAGCAGTGAAGTCAAAGAGTTTTGGATTGTCAGTGATGTTATCAGAAATGGTTAATAAACTTGTTCATGATTTTAGCATAAACAAATAGGTCGTGGCATGAGTAGGTGGTATCTTGGTGACCCTCCCGATAATGTTGCTCTTTATATTACCATTGTGGCAGAATAAACATCCTCAAAATTTATCTGATCCCTTCCATTTATTAAAAGTTAGATGCAATCTGAATTTGACACTGCTGTTTACTTGCTTGAATTTGATTTCAACAATTGCTAACAAATTCATAATGTGTTTCTTGCAGGGTTTGCTTTGTCCAAGGTCAGTTCATGTTTGGCGACTGCATTCTTAGATTTTTCTGTTTTGTTCGGAAGATCCACTGTGTATCAATCAACAAAGTTTCCATGAGTTACTGAAGCTTTATGCAATCCATGACTAGTGATCCAGAATGTGTTTCAGGTCTTTTCGGCTAGATGCCGCTTTTGTTACTAAGAATTGTTTGATGTTTCTACTTTTGTGAATGTTTAGAGTTGTCAACCTTCACTCTAAAGAAAACATTTTTGAATGAAATTTCTTGATAAGTAAATATACTGGAGTGTTCATAATGTTTGTTGATTTGAATCTTCCTGAGTAATAATGCATCGACTAGAACATATCTACAGATGGATCTTCTATTGCTACAGGATTCTGTAAGTTGAATTTGAAGATATTATAAAATCACTCCCAACAATGATAAAACTTTTGTTACCAACTATTCGGGACAATCTAAATCATTACAAACAATTATATCCAACAAAAATGATACAAAAATTTCTCAGACCTAAAACCTAATATTCACTGAGCACAAATAATGTCTTCCCCGTTTCCAGGAGATTGCAGAACGTAACGTCCTCTGTATCTTATAACCTTTTCTGCTTTTACTGTTCATGCTCCGTTACGGCTCCCTGTTCTCCATTCCCATGGCTTCTCAGGGTGGGAAGAAGCCCACAGGCCAACGCGAGCAGATCGTGCATCTTCCTCCCGCTAAGGACACATCGATCAATGCTCACTTGCGATGAGAACTCTTGGTCGGTTCATCGAAAGAAGGCAAATGATGGAACATTTATCTTCTCGGAAGAGACTACAGATTGGCTCAGTGCTTCCGGAACCTTGCAATGGCAAAATTAGAAGAGAAGTAACGAGGAACCAAAACACGCATATGGTTGCAAGAGGTTGAGGATGGGTGGGAAGGATAAGAATCGAGTACCTCTATGGAGATCTTGTATGAGCTTGCCAGCAGCACCTCCTCTTCATGCTTCGCGTGGTCAATCTTTGCCCACATAGTAGTCTCACAAAATGTAGTCGCCATGGAGCTTCGTGTATATACGAACGAGAGGAATGATCTAATAGAGGGTAGAAGATAAGACGTTACGTTGCCAAGACGAAGCAACATACGCGTGGGATTACAGACTTTTATGCAGACAGATGTTGATGATTGTGGAGCTCAGATTGAGTTTATCGGGAAATGGTTCCACATAAATGCAGACTGAAGAACTCTAAGCTTATTTTCTCGGGACTGTTTTTAGTTGATATGTTAAATCAATATTTCTCCCCAACAAATATTTAGAATATTCCTAATTCATACATACGAATTTAAGTCCCTTAATTTACACCCTATATTACAAATATTTCTTTGATTAATATTAATGGCCAGAGGCCAACTATCGATGTTCAAAGGCAAATTTATATACTTGCAAAGAGAATTGATGTCTTAAAGAAGAAAAATCTTTAAAAGATCATATATTCTATTAATTAATGATTCAATAATAGTTGGAAAAAAATGGCAAACCCATCGAAGACATATTATATATTTTTAGAAATTATATGACAAGTAATGATGGTAAGATTTAACCCTTTAGAAAATGTAAATCTCATGTGTGTCATGTTAGTAGACTCATTACAATTCATTTTAGCTCGAATAAATAATGATTCGGTGACAATTAAGTAAATTCGTATTATTTTAAATGACCAAAATATAAGGTATTATTGTGCTTTACAAAAATATTATCGTACCCCTCAGTCTACCTGACTTTCTATTGGAGGCAGAGAACGGCCCCACATTTAAAGCACCTTTGCTGAAAAGATGAGGAAGGAGAGGAAAGATACGCAAAGATGATGATGCCTAAATGGATCCGATAGTGTACGCTACCAATCTTTCGGCGTCGGGCCAATGCAGATCTTCCACGCGTCATCCTTTTGTTCCCGTTGCGCTGGCCTTTTCCTTCGCCCTTCCTTCGTCGGAAAGTGGCATCAGATTCGTTGACCTACTCTCCCCTCGACCACATCCAACCCCTCTCTCGTCCTTCCCCCTCGTCGAAGGAGAGAGAGAGAGAGAGAGAGAGAGAGAAACCCCATCGAAGCAGACACGCAAGGGAGATATGGGGAACAGCCTCTTCCGCTTCTTCTGCGGCAAATCCTCCGAGTCAACGCCCAACGATAAACACCAATCTTTGGGGCCTCATGGCGTCACCGGCGCCACCGTCGGCGTCTCCGCCCTGGCCCGTGATATCTTACACTTCGAAATCACGTCTCAGGTGCTCGATTCTTATCCTTCCCACCCATCCTCAACCTCTTGCAGTCATATGTGTGTTTTGATTCCTCATTACTTCTCTTCTAATTTTGCCGTTGCAAGGTTCCGGAAGCACTGAGCCAATCTGTAGTCTCTTCCAAGAAGGCACAGGCTAATTGGTACGATTTAGCTTGATGTAATCTGATACAGGAAACAAACAAGCTCATTTCTGCGAGCTACTAAGGATGCATGGAACAGATGATTGTCCAAGAAGAAACAGTGCGTGATCTAACTTGTTTCAGCTACTTTAAAACCAATATAGGTACAGGAAACTGCTAGTTGCATGGAGAGAAGCCAAGCCACCACCAACAACACCAGAAGAAGCATCCAGACTCGTGATCCGAACCTTGAAGAGGCACCAAAAGGCAGATGTTGAGGTAAGCAGAGCACACAGAAACAATGGAATCCGTATATGATCAGGAATGACTAATCAAATGTGCAGGGTCTCTTGGCTTATTATGGTCTTCCACTCCGGAACACTCTGCCGGAGATCCCAGCTGCTCAATCTTCTAAGCCGGAGGGAGCGAAGGACGAGCTACAAACACTTCCTGTGAGATGCTGCACATCACCTTGCTCAACCTGAGATCTAAGCCAGAAGAATGTCCTTGATGCAGTCTAACGCAACTGTTTCCTGGTTTTAGGTGGATGCCAAAGCTGTAGCAGATGGCGACACCATCACTGTGTACGTAGACACAGCTGATCCAAGAGAGTCTGCCAAAGTCCCTAGAGGCGTGCACGAGGCAGCCATCGAGAGGGCAAGAGCTCGCGCTGTGAAGGATTACAAGAAGGCGGATGCGCTTCAAAAGGTCATTACTGATGCAGGTTACAGGTAATCCACTTTGGCGATTCCCTGTCACGAGCTAGTTCGTGAAGCTTTGCCATATCATGGATCATGTCGACTGCAGGGTAATCGCTGGGCCAAACAATGAGGAGATTCTTGCTCGGAAGTATCGAATTAGGCTAAGGTATGCTTCAAATTTAGGACTCGTTCGCCCACTTTGCTGTGATTTCGCTGATAATCGAACAGGGGAATCGATGCACCGGAGAGCTCCATGCCCTTTGGGAAGGAGGCTAAGGAGGAACTGGTGAAACTGGTACAAGGGAAGCGTCTCAAGGTCTACGCTTTCGGAGATGATCGATACGGTCGCTGCGTGGGAGACATTTACTGCAATGGCGTCTATGTTCAAGTGAGACTCGAGGAAGAAAGTTATCAGATTGCTGAACCTACCATTTCGACGCTGTCTCTGACACGTAGTCCTGTTCATTCTACAGGAGCAGATGCTGAAGCGGGGGCTTGCATGGCACTACGTCGGCTACGACAAACGTCCGGAGCTTGCAAGGGTTAGTCTAATGTTCCATCATTTGCCTTCTTTCGATGAAGCTTCCAAGAGTTCGCGTCGAAACTGAGCATTGATCGATGTGTCCTTAGTGGGAGAAAGATGCACGAGCTGCTCGCGTTGGCCTGTGGGCTTCTTCCCACCCTGAGAAGCCATGGGAATGGAGAAAAGCGAGACGTAATGGAGCATGAAGGGCAAAAACAGAAAAGGCTATAAGATACAGAGGACGTTTCGTTCTTCAATCTCCTGGAAACGGGGAAGACATTATTTGTGCTCAGTGAATATTAGGTGTTGGGTCTGAGAAATTTCTGTATCATTTATGTTGGATATAATTGTTTGTAATGATTTAGATTATCCCAAATAGTTGTTATCATTGTTGGGAGTGATTCTATAATATCTTCAAATTCAACTTACAGAATCCTGTAGCAATAGAAGATCCATCTGTAGATATGTTTTTAGTCGATGCATTATTACTCAGGAAGATTCAAATTAACACACATTATGAACACTCCGGTATATTTTCTTATCAAGAAATTTCATTCAAAAATGTTTTCTTAAGATAGAGTGAGGGTTGACAACTCTAAACATTCACCAAAGTAGAAACACATCAAACAATTCTTAGTCACAAAAGTGGTATCTAGCTGAAAAGACCTGAAACACATTCTGGATCACTAGTCATGGATTGCATGAAGCTTCAGGAACTCATGGAAACTTTATTGATTGATACACAGTGGATCTTCCGAACAAAACAGAAATCTAAGAATGCAGTGGCCAAATATGAACTGACCTTGGACAAAGCAAACCCTGCAAGAAACACATTATGAATTTATTAGCAATTGTTGAAATCAAATTCAAGCAAGTAAACAGCAGAGTGTCAAATTCAGATTGCATCGAACTTTCAATAAATGGAAGGGATCAGATAAATTTCGAGGATGTTTATTTTGCCAACATGCTAATATATAGAGCAATATTATTGGGAGGGTCACCAAGATACCAGCTACTCATGCCACAGCCTATTTGTTTATGCTAAAATCATAAACAAGTTAATTAACCATTTCTGATAACATCACTGACAATCCAAAACTCTTCGACTGTACTGCTCAAACTATTTCTTGAAAAACATGTGAAGAACCAAAAGTGGATGGCATAGATCAATACTGAGTTTGAATTCAGATGTAAATCAGGAATGAACAAAAAGAGATAGACAATGCACACAGACACTGGGCAAAACCTCACCTATTCGGTGCACCAACTTCCTCGTTTTATTCTACCTAACATTCTTGGAGTTTATACACTACTCTGATCCATGTAAAACAGTCCTTGCCAGTTCCTTCATGCACAAACCAGAGCACACCCCATTCAAAGAGATTTCAAGATCCAGGCCTCGTGACATGGAATAGAGTTCAGGTGTTTTAAGGGAAGAACGCAACAAAAGAATATGTGTAACCTCTTGTTTCTGACTTCATGACAACTTAAGTGTCGGATGTTATTGATTCCTAATCACATATCTGAGTGTCCAACTTGCGAAGGGATAAAACGTAAACACAATGTACCAAAAGTATAATTTCAAAAATTGCCACAAGATAAGAGAAATATTACAACGTGTATATATATATATAAGGAGCCTTAGAAACCAAAAAGACCAATTGCCAATATAATCATAAAAGAAAAAAAAGAAGATATCTAATCAATGATCCCATGAAGTGATCAACAAGGGGAAACGAGAATTTTCTTGACAAAGTCCTGCAATTCTGCATTCCTTTAGAGCATCAGTACTGGTAAGTTGGGCATCCAGCAGAAGCAACCCATTGTCGATTCAGATGTGATTGTAACACTCTGGATCTTCCTTTCTTTCTTATTACCATTATCTTAATTATATTGTCTCCTCTAACGCAAGACCTCTCACAAATATTTTGAGAATATAAATTGAAATGCTGATAATTACAGCAAAACACTCTTTCATAATTTCCTCGTCAAGCTAATAAATTGAGTTTCAGTCATATATACTCCAGAAACATAGTTCTAAGCACTATATAATCTCGATAATGTTCAAGACCAAGATCTCCCATTCAGATTAAAACATCGGAACCTAATAGAACTCCAAATGAATCAATATAGATGGCCATCTTGAGCATGAAATAGGTGATACCGAGCATAATATAAACGATGGACATAATTTTAACTTGCTGTAACATGCCTCTTGAAAATTGAAGTCGTACCTGATCAAGACCAACTTAATTTTTCTCTTCATCAGAATAAGAATCACTAGCATTGTAGCCTAAAGAAAAGTATTAAAACAATGATCAACAAAAGTTACCCAACAACAGAGTTGTAATTGCTACAAACAAATATATATTCTGGATGACAGATGAAAGAAAAGAAATATATCTTTTCTGTTCAAAATTTGAATTTTTATGTTAAAAATGCTAAGGCAGATACCTGGATGCTTGTCGCTGACCTTCCGAACTGCTGACCGATATCTGGAGGCTTTTGTAATCCACACATTTGCCTGAGAAATGCCAACTCCTTAACTATCAAGATTCTGGTAACAAGGAAAAAAACTACATGAAAAGGGAAATTTTGTCTTGAAAGAAGTAGGAGACAAGAATTATGAAATAGAATCAAGCTACATCACCTGTACAAGAAATCCTATAAGCACTTTTCAAAATTCAAGCTAGAAATTGTGCAACATATATAAATTTTCTCTGGCAATTAAGAAGATTTTGGACTTCTCTAATAACAAACGCATGGACCTTCTAAATCGCTGAGCATGCAACTGAGATCATAATACAGCCTGCTATGCCCCGTATTCTGCACACCAAAACTTACCAAGCATTCAAAACTTCATCTTTCTTTTGTTTTTAGCTAATACTGTTCATCAATATGCAATCAGAAGCTTCAATCTTCGCCTCGGTACTCTCTTCACAAAATAATCGACCATATAAGAACTAATCAATAAAAATTCTCCCTAACCATGAAATCTTAAGTGAATAAGGGAAAAAAAAGCGAACTTTATCTCAAAACCCCAAAGTACTGTGAAAATCGGAAAACTACATTCCAAGAAACCCTAGAATCCAAACGCCGTCAACTAAAAGTGTCCTGACCGATCCAATACCGGGAGAACAACATAAAGCGTTCACCTTTTGCTCGTTCTTCGCCACCCCGTATCCGCTATGGTACATCTGAGCGACAAGGACCTGCATCGACACATCACCGGCCCTGGCTTCCTTAAGCGCGTCCTGGAACCACCGCCGCACGCAGTCCGCTACCACCTCCTTCAGTGGGACGCTGGCCTCCCGCAGGTCCGCCAAATCCATCACGGATGACGACGTCGTCTCCTTGTTCCAGACCACAGGCCGAAGCGGGGTCTTGGCGACTCTCGTCCTCCGGATCCGGGAGCCGCTTGCCCATAAAAGGTGGCGGCGACGCAAAGAGAGTGTTCGACGTAATTTTGGAAGACAGAAGGGCCTCTTTGCAAAATAGTGGCGAATGGTGGCGACTAGGTGAAGCCGTCGGTGGCGCCGCCGTCGGGCCCTAAGTCGCTCCTCGTGGAGTTTACATCGCTGCCACGCGGCCTGTCGCCCGCCAATGGGCCGAAGCACCGAACCCGATCGCACAGTATCACGCTGTATGTCTAGTCGTGAATGACATTACTACTCGAGTAAGCTTACCATCTGTAGCTAAAGCCTTACTGACTTCAAAAAAGAGTGAATGGTAAGATCGCCCTTCGCTTCCCCTCGTCTGAATACGATTATGAGGTTCCTCGCTTCTCAGCCGCCATCTCAGTCGTCTTATCCTCGTCAGCTTCGGCGTTGTCGGGAGCTGTCCCCACATGTTCCGATCTCAGCCATTCTCCCTGTCCTCCTCGCTAGTGGATGATCGTGGCGAATGACGGAGAGAATGTGATGTCATCTACATTGACCATCGGCTCTTTTACCTTCGGATGCAATTAAAATTATAACAAATATGACACATAAAATGGATGTCATATCTATAGCAATTCAACCCGGTAACTAAGTACAAAAAGGAAATGCAAAACAAAACTCATGACCTTCCGATCATGAGTTTTATTTGTTTGTGTATATGTAGGTCGCTCCTATTTTTCATGAGGACTTTGTGATTATAAACATGGAAGATATAGAAATCAAAAACATTATGTAGAAAGTCAAAACAATAATCGATGTGGAATTCACACTCCGAAGAGGACTGCTCTATCAAGGTGCTTAGCTTTACATGCCGAACAAAGCATATCATATAAATTGGATGCAAGAGGCATATTCATCAAAAGTTACGACATATTTACTAACCCCATATATAATAAGATATGGCTAAATTCGTGTGAGGGTGTGTCCTTTGCAGTTCTTTAAAATCGGCCAACTAAAATTAAGGATATACACACCATTGCTCGTTCTATCGTGATCATGGGAGAGTATATCTATGGACTTCTTTGGAAGTTTACTTACGATGAGATGAGGACACGACTATCTCTTTATAGTGGACGATAGGTTCTCAAATATGGTGGTACTCATGTATTGCAAGAAGATAATTACTAGAGAAGAAGTAGTTTGCTTATTCTTTCAACACGTGTGGACATGTTTTGACTTTTCGAGTTTCATCGTGTTCGACCGTGATATGCGTTTCTTGAGCAGTTTTTGGAGTTCACTTTAGACCATGATAAACACCAAACTAAAGAATTGTACAACCTTCCATCCATAAATTTATTGTCAAACCAAAATAGTGAACCAGACCATAGCTCATCTCCTCCGAGGATACAACTCTCGCCACTTAAGATATAGGATGAAAGCTTACCATATCTTCAGTTTGCTTTCAATCTGGCAATGCATAGTTCTACCAATAAATCACTATTCAATATATGTTTAGATTATTTATCCCAAAGTCCTTTTAATCTATATTTTACAATTGATTCAGAATTAGTTATCTCCAACAAAAGCAATGCAACATAATAAGCCTAGAAAATTTTTGGAGAACATCCGCAATATACATAAAGAGGATGAGAAGAAACTTTAGTGTAGAAAGATGATTTTATGAAAGAGACATTGTTTGGCTATACCTTATGAAAGAATGACTCAAAGGAGAAGGCAAGAAGCTAAAGCCTATTTGATATTAACCATTCAAAGTTTTGAAGTGGTAGAAACGATGCATGCCAAATTTAGTTGTCACCCTACCGAGAGATACATTTAATTATGAACGTTGAGAACTTTAAGTCGTTCGAGCCTTCGATACATTGTCATTTATCGAAGAGTAGTGACCAACCAAAAGAAGCCTCTCATAGAAAATATTATCATCAAGAGTAAGTCCACAACCACTCGGTGAGATATTAAAGTTATCCTCCAAATTAGATACGAAGGATGTAAATAAAATACTCAATTTTAAAGTTGTTAAAGTTAGTTTCCCAAATTTTAAAACAAGATTCAATGAAACATGGATTGCCTAATTAAGGGAGTTGTGATCTTGGGCCAATCTCAACACCATTCAAACATTTTAGTCGATCCTTATCCAAAGACCTCGTAAAGATTCAAAACCTTATTTGACCAAGCCAAGCTGAAAATAAAATAACATACTTACTTCGATCCAAGTTCTAATATACCTCAAGCATAGTCCATTCTATCTATTCTATCCTCATCTAGTCCTTCCAACCATAGTTTTTTTTTCTCAAGTATTTATATTCAAAACGTTACATCAAACTCCATCTAGCTATTATGAGCAGACTCCAACACCTACTGCCTATCGTCTAAATCTTAGGAGGAGATTCAAACAACGAGAGAGAAGATCAAAATGGACAACGATACATAAACTATCAAGAGCATCCAAGTGTTATCCAAAAACAATCTATGCTTTATTGCATCTATTAATTTCTTTACATAATTTTAATTCTTTCTAATTAATATTTTAGTTTTATAAGTAATTAAAATTATTTTTTGATTTTATATTTGATCTTTCTACAGTTTTTTTTTTTTTTTGTTCCTTCATGAAAACTTTTAGTGAAGAGATGATGTTAATTGTTTTGTTTCGAAACAGAAATATTTACCGAGGTCGATTCATTGTATTCAGACATTCACGATCAAGAAGTACTGGATTCTCTTTCGGATAGGTCCTGAAAGGAGAAGGTTAATAGACATATGTTGGAGACGGAAAGTCTATCTATTATCTAATTCACTTGATCCGATCCATTTTGAAAACGTCTAATGTCCAACCCAAACCCATAGGGTTAGAATCCATTTTGCCATTGAGCCACATCCGATCTCGGTCGAACGTAGGGCCGACGACGACGATGGGGATAGCGGAGCGGTGATCAGGATGAGGGTGATGTTGACGCGTCATCAACGAGAGGTAGAGGATGAGGGCCTCGTCGCACTTCCCCGAGTACATGATCACCGTGCTGTTTGTGGGAGCTCTTCAAGTCGCCATTAAAACGTAGTTCTCGGCCTCATGTCATTCCCTCCTATTGGCATCCAACGTCAAAGCTCTCGCCTGGGAGAATGAGCCAAATAATAAGATATTACTGTTCTCATATACTCAATACTGGTGCAGAAAAGACGACCTTTTTATATCAAAATTTTCTCCTCCATACATGCATCTCTCTCTCTCTCTCTCTCTCTCTGTCGACAAAGCTTTGGTTTTTGTCTTGTGCTCATAAAGCATCGATTTTTTTTTTTTTTTTCACTTTTGGAGAGGGTCCCCTCTTTGTTCAGTTGCGCAAAACGCCCTCGTTCATTCGACCAACCAATTTAAGCGATCTAAAATCTCATGTGTCTGCACGAACGAGTGAGGAACTAAATATACAGTCTGTAAACGCTGATGAGTCTGCATGGTCTGTGCACGAGGTGATGTCGAGAGTCTTTGGTCGACTGAGCTGGATGTCAAAGTCGGTCGAGCCCTCCAGTTGATGTGTTGGCTTTGTAATATTGACGTCTCTTCGTCAGGATGCTAATTAGCGTATCGGGAGGAAGAACGCCTCTATCGATCGGGATGGCTTCGCCTCGGATGTTATCGCTTTCCTGCACATAAGGCCCCGTCGGATCGTTACCGACTGTGGCCCCTCAACAAGTAAGTCATTGTGGGATTCTGCTTTCTCTCTTTTTTCTCTCCTCTGGTCAGATGCCGGCTAGGGGTTTTTATACTACTGTATGAGAGTCAGTCGTATGTGGGTTTGGTGTGACGGTCGATCCTCGATGGGTGAGATGGTACCTTTGTGTGGTCGTCATCCCGGGGCGTCCGAAATGACGACACGTGGTGTCATCCCGGGGCGTCCGAAATGACGACACGTGGTGTCATCCCGGGCTTACCGGGATGGGACATGCCAAGCGATGTCTTGGTACGGTTGCTGACTCGACGCGTGGGAGTGCTTCTCTTGTTGACTTGACCGTAACGTGACGTGGCATCGATTGTAACGTGACGTGGGCCCAAAATATACGGTATCACATGAGATGGAAGAGTCGAAGGCAATACCAATTCCATTAGATTAGCTATGAAAAATGAGACTGCTTCCATGAAGCATTTTTTATTTTTGATATTGGATATATATATATATATGTATATATATATATATGTATATGTATGTATATATATATATATATATTACGGAAACCTCTTAATTCATCCAATATCAAATATCAAAAATAAAAAATATTAATTTATAACATTAGATAATTCTATTGTTAACTTGAATGCAAGTATTCAAATTCTAGAATTTGAATAGTAACCATATACGGGCATTGCCAACGTAAGTTCTTTAAAAGCTTTGTTCTTGACCATCATATCACCTTACCATATAAATCTGATTTAAACGAACACTATGATTTGAACGACAAAAAGAGAATTCTTTGGGTTGAGTTACAATTCATGGCATTTCTGGCAACCTATTAATTATTTTATTTTTTCAATTTAACAAGAAAGATTTCTTTCTTATCCTATATAATAATAAAACAGTAAAAGAGATAGAAATTTCTTTCTTACCTTATGCTTGCGGTCCAATTGGTTGGCATTATTGTGCTTGTATCGAGATGATAATCATTACAACAAGTACTTCTGTTAGATAATAGAAAGGAAGTCCGATTAAGGTAAGATTCATTAGGAGATAACTTTGATGGAATGAACTCTCTTAATAACTTATGTGATACCCTATGTACTCACCTATAAATAGACAATACTTCAAGGGCTAAATATGTATCTCATAAAGGACGTAAATTATGGTTTCTCTCTCAATTTTTCTAATTTATTAATCTAAATGGTCTTGTGAAAGGATAGGAAGAGAAGAATGAGAGTCTAGTTCTCCTTATATATTAACACTGAGTTTTGGATCTAAAGATAGTACCCAGATCACACAAAGATCGTAAATCGATCTAATATTATTCGATTTCAATCCTAGTGTATATGTGTAACTTCGATATTGTTGTAATAGCATCGAGGTGATGGATCCTTTGGTGCTTATCTCTGAACCTCTGGCATTCCACTTCCTCCTCTCGTTGTTTGGTTTGCTAGAAGGATTGGTATGTGTTCGAGCAACCGAGGAAGAGTATCCCGATAATATTCATTCCTACTACATACATCATGCATGGTAGTCGATATTTCATATAATGGATCTTATTATTATAACTAGTGATATGGAATTGAATCACCATGAGCCTCGTACGATATAGACGATGAGACTTGATAAGGGTGGCAAGAAAAGGCTTGTCGGCTAGATTGTACTGTGATATGCAACGACATGCTTATCGTATAGGTTTAAGTACTCGATGAAACCAGCTTCTGAGATCATATGCCGGACGAGCCTTACTGCTCATTGTATTGATTTTAGCTCTTAAAAGATTGAACACACATTTTAAAGGCTTAAAAATGGAAAATTTTGAAATTAATTTTAGGCATTTGTAATTAATTTTCGAGGTTCTCTCAAAGTTTAGAAATTTTTGAAATAAGTGAAATGTGAGTTACAAATTTTTTTAATAAAGTTGCATTGTTTTTGGATCAAAACCTAAAACATGTAACCTCGTTAAAAAAAAGTATAACTCGAGCCTTCAAGAAAATTCTTTTCATAAAGCTTCAAAACGTCATTCTTTGATAATATTCAAGTGGTTTCTGATTCAAAATGATTGTAAATTCACCTTAGATTGGGTAAATTTTTAAAAAGATACAAATTCAATCTTTTAATTGTTAAAAGATTAGCGTAACTAAGGTTATCAAAAAGACTATTTTTCTGAAAACTTAAGAAAAACCTTCTTTGATAACATTTACATAGTTTTTTTTCCCAAAGTAGCTGTAAATTCACCTTAAATTGAAAAAAAAACATAAATTTAATCAATGACTAATATCCATAAAAATATTTATTTTAAAATTTAATTGTTAAAAAAGTCATTTATGCATTTATAAGTCATTTCCAATGTTTTTTCTTAAAATTTAAGAATTTTTATATTTTTATTATTAGTTATTTAAATATATAAATAATATTATTATATTATATTTTTAATTTATATAAATAATTTAATTTTAATTTTTTTATACTTAATATATATGATTTTGTCCGATGCTACCTCATTTGCCATCGAGGCCGACACTTAAGTAGTGCTCCAGGTCACCAACCTCAAAATGGCACCATAGTGTACCCCAATGTGCCTCGCATCAATGATTAATAATAATCGTTCTACCTTATAAAGATCAATAACTATCCTATTTTATCAAGATTAGAGGCTAGAATGATCAGGCGGTTAACCTGATTTTACCATAGGCTAGCCAATAAGAAAGCCCAAGGATCAGGTATAAAAAGGAACTCATCAACGCACACTGAAAGGGAGGCTCTCTACACACTAACTTAATCATATATCTTACATTGCTATTTTCTTTCCTTCGCTCACTTAAGTATTGCAAGGGTCGCGTCGAGCAATCCATGGCGTTGGTCGCTCAAAGACACCTAGACAACCCAACCCCTAGGGAGGAATCTTGTAATCAGAAAAATCCTAGTTTGCCTACCCAACCCTCTCAAATCAGGTTTCACCAAGAGAACGACTTCTGACCGGACAACAATCTCACCTCACCGAGTGTCTTATGTCAGCCCAGAAAAGATACATGGACGAATCGAGTCTACACCTTTAATAGTTGACCAACCAAATCGACTCATCAATCGACGGTAATCATGATACTATTAATACTCTATTCTTTTTTAATTTATTTATAATTTTAAGATCAATCTATGCCGGTCTACATTTTTGGATTGGCTAAATTGGTGATTGAATGAGTTAAGGTAGCTCAATGAGCCCTTTAAAAAAAAAATAGAGAGAGAAATAAAGAAAAAGAAAAGAAAAGAGTGATTTAACTCACTTTTGTTCGACTTAAAGAGTAGGAGCCCTATCCGAGGAAAAAAAATCAACGTAGGGATAGGAAAAGGAAAAAAACAAGAGCTTTTCCTAAAGAAATAAAATAATAAATAATAAATAATAAATAATCACTTTATAATCATGATGCATGTATCAAGAATCTCTAAATAAATAAATAAAAATAATAATAATAATAATAATAATAATAATAATAATAATAATAATAATAATAATAATAATAATAATAATAATAATAATAATAATAATAATAATAATAATAAGTCAAATTTTCTGCACCAGTGGAGAATATAAGAACAGTAATCTCCTGTTGTTTGTTTGGTTCATTCTCCCATCGACAAGCTTTGGTGTTGGATGCCGATAGGAGGGAATGGCATCGGAGGCCGAGAGCTACGGCGACCCAAAAGAGTTTCCATAAATATCACAGATGAATCACATTGGTTTGGCTCAGTATGTTAGATTCCTTGGGTTTTTTCTCGGAGGTTCATTAGGTGCCTGAACGTAGGCTAACCCTCCTCCTTAGGTTGATCTCACGGAGAAGAGACTACAAGAATAGACGACGAAAAAGTCTCTCAAAACTCTTAATTTGGTCGGTTCTAAAGTCCCTGCAAACTCTCTCAACCAAAACAAGCCTTGTTTAATGCTTACTTAACCACAAGCTTTATTTACTCGGAGCCTCATCACATCACCCCTCTCTCTCTCTCTCTCTCTCTCTCTCTCTTTTCCAGCCTACATATTTCCTCACGAAGGGCCACGGCTTCTACTTTCTTTCCGGCTAAAAACTTGGTTTCCATCAAGACCCGAGGTGGTATCAGCCACTTCGTGAAGAAGGTATCAGCTCTCGATTACATGCTGATAGAGGAGACCGGACGGCTAAAGTTCAACCGAGGAAATTAGATGACCCCATTCACTCCCAAGTTCAAGGGAGACTTTTGCTACGAGTAATGTATTGGAGCTTGAGCGTAACGTGCTGCGCCTGAATCGTAACCCTAAAGTAAGTTGAAACCATGGCCCTTCGCGAGGAAATATATAGGCCGGAAAAGAGACAGAGGTCTCCGAGTAGATAAAGCTTGTGGTTACAAAGCATTAAATAAGGCTTGTTTTGGTCGAGAGACTTTGCAGGGACTTCAGAACCACGTTGAGGGTCAAGATGCTCTTTCGTTTGTTCTTGTAGTATCTTCTCCGCGAAGTTCTCAGAAGGCTGAGGAGAGGGTCGCCCTTGCTTCATGGGCGTGCGCTTCGTTCATGGTTTTTATAACACCAATCCGACACCAGGAGAACAACATCGAGGGTACACCTTTGGCTCCTCCTTCGCCACCCCACGTCCGCTATGGTACATCCGAGCAATAAGGACGATGGCTCTCTTTGCGTTGCCGCAAAGAGACGGACTCCTGTCTATCTATCAAAAATTACGTCGAACATTCTCTTTGCGTTGCCGCTGCCTTTAGTGGGCAAGCTGCTCCCAAATCCGAAGAGCTTCGAGGACGTCGCTCGCTTCACCGCCGACAGGATCCGGAGGACGAGAGTTGCCGAGCCCCCCGCTTCGGCCTCTGGCGTGGAATAAGGAGACCACGACGACATCCGTGATGGACTTAAAAGTGTCAGTATTTGAGAACAAATGTTAACCATATTCAGAAATAGCATAAATTATTTTTTATTATTATAAAAAAAAATATTTATTTTTTTTAAAACTTTGAAAATGAATTATATATTTTTTTTTTCATTTTTAAGCTTTTAAATGAGTTTTTATATTAATTTTACCCCTTAAAAGGTTGAATTTATACTTTTTTTCTTAAAGTTTAATCAATTTAAGGTGAATTTACAATAAATTTGGATCAAAAATCACTTGAATATTATCAAAGAAGACTTTCTGAAGTTTTAAAAGATAATTATCTTTTTGGAGTTTAATACGATTGCATTATTTTTTTTTTGTCCTATTAAAAACCCTTTAAAAATTTTGTAACTCACCTCTCACTTTTTTCAAAAATAATTTAAATTTCAAAAACTTCTAAAATGAATTACAAAAGTCAAAATGTTTTTTTTAACTATTTTAAAACATATATTTTTAATGATTTCAATCTTTACATGGCTCAAATTTAAAGATAAAACCATCACCCTCATCTCCTTTGATTCATCCTAACTAAATTAGTGTGGTAAGGGGACTTATCTGTTGGCTATATGATGATATAATATTGAAGATAAGAATACTGGAATGAAATACTTCCCATGGATAGACATTTTAATTTAGTCCATATCGAAAATTAAAAGAAATCAACTTATTATAGAATCAAATCTCAAATAGCATTATGTTATGCAACAAAAACAAGTTCTCAAAAAGCCTTTTTCTTGAACATAATATCACTTTAACATATTAAAATTCCCACTAATAGAATAAACATTTTAACCCAACCAAGATATCATCAATTTGTGATTCCATACCTCTATGATTTAGAAATAATGATAAACAAGTTCAAAAGCTCACATTTCTGCAACAGTCTTCTAAAACATTTTTAACTTAACAGAACATTAAATCAAACAAACTTTGATACTGAAAAGACAAAGTCAACAAAACTGACTTGATTCAAAAGGCTGTATGCCCCTAATCTACCCATGAAGATTTCATGCACTCTCGGTCACAGGGTACTCGAAGACAACATCCTTTCCACAAAGCTTTCTATAGACCCCCGTGAATGTCTCCAACTTGTACTCTGTGTTGTTGCGTTCCTTTGGGTCCAGGAAAATCTGATTCAAAGAGATTAACAATTTGGTAAACCATTTGGTTTCTGCAGCTTCATAAAATGAGATAACATAAAAAGTGATCATGGCAGATGGTGAAATCATGTTACAATTCCATAACGGCCGTATCAAGAATGGAACGACAACTTCGTTCTATTGAATACACATGATATGGTTTAGGGCATAGACATCTTAGAATATCACTGTCAGTTGCTTCAAAAAACATTATAGATGTGAACCGACGAGAAGGCACTAAACCTGTAGTAAAAGGTAAAGAGTCTCTGATCACAGGAAACTCACCTTCATGAGCTTTGAGCCATCAAGACGATATCTTATGCGCTTCCCAACAATCTCAGCAGGGTACACAACATCCTCCAAGATGGCATCATGAACTGCAGTGAGAGTCCGGCTGCGAGGGCGCACGACAGCAGAACCTTTCTTTGGAGGTCTCAAAATCCTCCTTGTCGCAATAAGAACTACATCCTGTTTAAAAGAATAACAAAAAATGAGGACCATAAAAGAAAGGAAATACAAGTACAAACAGGCATCTGTGTATGTGAAGAGATAGGAGAGATCATTACAAATTAGAATATTGTAAGTATGACTGGTGACAGTGTATGGTTACTTGATATAGCAACATAAAGAACAACACTCAACATGAAGAATATTACAGTGTAAACCATACCTATGCCGATTGGGTTTATTATTCTAAAATACCTACACATATGATATGGACAAATGAGACATTAGTTCATCTTCCAGCAAACAGACCTGAAATTTTTCTATGATACTGGGTGTTTGCCACCTAGTAAAGTTGCTTTCTAAAAAAATCTCACGACTCATATCTTTAAGGAACATCACCAATGACTTTTCCAAGATTGTGGATCTCAATCGACTATGATAATAAGAAAGGCCAATCGCACAGTCCAGGTCCAAGATAAGCTCCAATGAATTGAGTAACATGGATTTAGTAAAAAGTAAGGAAGGCACACTGAGAGAAAATATTTTCACCAATCACATTCTGTCAAAAAATTTCTACTTCTGGAGCTTGCCCATTTCCTACTTAATCAAATGTAAATATCTAGGAGCTCATGAGATTACTATTTGATTGTCTTAGAAATATTAAAGAAGGATCAACTCAATCAGTGACATTTACTCAACATCAGTGCATCTTAAAGCATTGCAAACAGTTGCAATAAATATTTCCAACAGGATCATTCATGCGGAAGAAATATGAACACAACAAGCACTTTCTGCATGCACAGTAACACTTTTCAACATACATCATTCTTCCTATAGTGTTAAGATATTACTTAATTCGATGTTTATTAAACTAGTTAGAGACAAAACGATGAAGTGCAGCAAAGCCTAACCTTCCCACTGAACTTCTTCTCCAATTCTCTAACAAGCCTCACATGAATCTTCCTAAAGGCTTTTCGAAGCCTGTATGGAACATGAATAACAACAGCTTTTCGGTTGCCTGCTACATCCATTTGACTGCATTAGAGAAACAAATAATTCAGATACTTAGTCTCCTGGATAAAAATACATACATACATCTCACAACTGAAAATTTGATATACTCTTACATGGCTGAATTGATATAGAGGTCCTTGAGGTCGCTCTTCAGCTCCTGATTACCATTCTCCAAGTCAAAGAATGCCTACAAGAAAAAACAGCCCCATCAGCAACTAAAACCAAAATACATCAAGCAACAACAAGACTAAGCATGTGTCACAACCTGAGCAACAGTGTCTTCAAACTCAGTTGGCTCCAAACCCTTTTCCTTTTGGATTTTCTTCCGTGCAGTAAACATTTTGTTTTCTTATTGCTTAGCCTACAAAAAGCAACACCAAAAATTCTAAATGAATCATTATACATATAACAAGAAATAATATTCTTATTTTAGAAGCATTTGAATCACATGCTCTGCTCAGAGATGTTGACTCATCAACCTACAAGTCAAAACATAAGCGTTTCATCAACTTAACAATGTGCTAATTATACTAAATATTCTAAATTGATTATATAACTCATGAATTAAAACTTCCTATATCGATTATTATATTAACTCATAACAAACTTAAGCTGGCTCATCTTTCAACGCATGAGGTTGTCATGTAATCTTCTATGAGGTTTCAAATACCAGTCTGTATGTTCCAAGAGATAAATATTAACTTTTTTGTTGGCTTCTTTTTTTAAATATTAACGTACTGAAGAGAAGGTAGGCAAGCTATTACGGAGCCAATTATCATATAAGAGAACCTACTGACAAGTTGGTAGGAAAGTCTTTGCAGAGCCGATATTCATATAAGAGGTACCAAGATGATGTGATGTGGAGAATCTCTTCCCTTTTCGATAATAAAGATAGGTTCTTTCCAATATGTACAACATCATCAAGAAATAACATGGTAACTCAATGAGCGTTATCAACTGAGTTAAAGGTTAACAAAAGTACAAAGAAAGTAAACTGCACTGAAATGATCCATCAATCTCTATGCACAGTCTACCTAGATGAATACTATGGCAGTCTCATCAAGATCACTAATGCAATAGCTTGTGGCGCACGACTGAATAAAAATAGAAAAAAATCAGAACTTGTCACTAAAACTACACCGTAAAAAGGAAAACAAGAAATCAAACAATGCACCGAAGGAGAACACAACAAACCACAAAGAAGGAAGTGATTATCGATTCGCATCGGAAATAATCTGAACTGAAGAAAGGAGAACCAAGTGAGTTCCCACCGGAACTCCGAACGTAGAAAACAGGTGAAAGGAGGTACCTTCGGGGCCGAGGAGGACGCAAGGATAGCTCGGAGACCACAGCGGCGCTCTTAGGGTTTCTTCGCACAGGGGAGGACAACCCTCTTTTATTCCTCGGCAGCCAGGAGCCTCGGTATCCGAAATTCCAATTTTGCCCTTAGGATGAGATACCCCACAATTGTGATTTGATCGGTAGAATCTTGACCATCCAATATAGTAAACAATCAGAATCGTCGATTTAAGATCGGAAGGACGTCAAACGCGCGCGCCCACGTGTGTTATTGGGACGGTCAAGATGGAAGAGTAGCTATGATCTACGGTATTGATTTCTTTGGAAAGCTTGACTTACCAAGTCAGCTATCATACCGGTCCGGTTTGCGCACAAACCAACCGATTCATGCCCGGTTCAGTTCATTAACGTACTGAAGAAGAAAAGATCCACTGGACAAGTCGTCTCGATTCTGCCTCTTTCTTCGCTTCCATCCCCCTTGTAGAATTCTTATCGCCCTCGGAAGAGAAGAAGCGAAAGGGTGGGGGGGCTTTTGGATTCTCGATTCCGTTGCAAGAGGAAGAACTAGCAGTGAGATGGATCAGATACTGAACAAGGTTGGATCGTATTGGATCAACAAGCGAGCCGACAAGGAGATCTCCTCCGTCGGTGACGACATCAACGTAAGCAATCCTCCCGGTCCTGCCCTCATATCCATTCATGGTTCCTTTCGACCTTTGGATTCGTGGATTTTAAGTGTTTCCTTGTGATTCTGAAGCTCAATTCTTTTGGGAAACCCTTGATTCATTCGGGTTTCGAAGCGAATCGCTAGGTCTTCCCCTCTTAGTGGATTTCTTTTCGATGCTGTTAGTAGTGTCCACAAATACCCAGTAAAATATTTTTTTTTAATCTTTCTTTTAGTTTAGCTACTTGATGTTTTTGTGAAAATTGCGAATTTTACGATGACTTGTTATTATGGACAATCAAATCGTTTGTTGGTGCATGAAAAGTGGAATCTTTGAGTGACTTACCACCGCTGTTTTAAGGTAGAAAACACCGACGAAATGTTTCTATAATTGGGTATAGCTCGATGGTCTATCAAGAATTGAAAAAACACGGTGTGTTCTTTATTTTCTTCAGGATTCTGGGCATACTAAAGAAAAGTATGGTGGACCGTCGTAGATGATGTTTTCTGCTTTTTTCTCATAACCTCTGTGTCAGATTGATACCTGCCCCATGAAGATTACTCACTGGGATTATGTTTTAATTCATGATATTTAAGTACATGGGTGATGGGTACTGTAGAAATGCGAGTATTTTGGAGCTCAAATAGGAAATTGTATACTGTGTTTGTGTCTATTTCTGGCATGAATGAAAAGGTTTATCTCAGTTCTTGATGATATTAAAGATGGATATTGGATACTGTGAGATGCAAATAATTATAATTGAGATGCAGAAGATTTATTGCAGATGTCAGGATGTAAGAGATGCTAAAGAAGTACTATTTTATGTGTCATCGAGAACAACTTAGGTAACTTGTTAGGTGCAATGATGTTTTGTGAACAACTTCCATATTTGCCAAGCATGAGAAGCACTGAATTGAAATGGAAAATAGTTTGAAGTAGCTTCCTTAATATTTGAAGAATTCATTTATTAGAGAGTCATGTAGGGCCATGAGCTGGAGACGTTTTGATGGAGTGTTGAGCCACATTCTCATGGTCTATAGTTTTTTTTTTATTGTTTTGATTTTTGCTTCAGTATGACTCCCGCTTCATAATTTTTATTAATTTTGTTGTTTCTTGATATTTTATGATGTGATTATTGGAGTATATTAAAATTACAAAAATTATATTTTTTATATAAGAGGAGACACTTCTGTCAGAAGAAAGAATATCCTCATAAACATGAAATAGTGAGATTTGTAACAGAGCACCTTAAGAGAAAGATTTGATAGATAGACAGGATGCTAAAAGGAGAAAGTTCTATCAATAAAATTATTGCTTGTAATATCTTTCCTTGAAGTGATTCTGGGAGTCTACCAACTCTCAGATTGCAGTGGACTGTTATGGCACATTAATATGGAATGATATTTCAGTCTCCTGATATTGACTTCCATCAGGAAAAGAAAGAAGGGAGCAATGGAAAGAGGAAGGAGAGAAAAGTTTCTTCTCCTCTGTCTTGTCAGTCCTTTGAAACTGCAAGCCAATAGGGATTCAAGATTCGGCTAGAATATTGAAATGGATTGCTTTAGAGGGATCAGTTCTCCGAGTAAACAGTATGGTAAAAAAAACACGGTGTTTCTGCTGTACAGCAGTTGAAATAGCCAAAACACAGAGCTCTAGGCAAGATAAGCTGAATTTAAATAAACAGGGGTTGTCATACTGGCCTTTGTTTGGACTTCTACATGCTACATAATGCTGCGGTAGGTACACTGCATCTTGATTAGATGGCCTTTTGGGTTTTAGTTCAGACTTGAACATACCACCACAGACCGATGTACTAGACAACTTGATTCCTTGATTGTATGGTCTTTTTATATAATTGGCAATCTTTTCTTTACGAGATATCATTGCTGGATTTTCATGTAAAATTCTTTCTCAATTTGCTTGAGATTGTTTTAATTATGATGTGACATGTTTATTATTTCTATCTGGTATATTTGTTTTCCATGTGTTTCAACCTAGAAGATGTTGATGGTTGTATTAGTTAGACTCATTTTCAACTGCTTAGGAAGGAAGGTCTTTTTATATTATCATGATCTTTTATATGATCATGATCATCTATTCAATTAATACTGTCTGCCTTCTCTTTGTGGTAATATTGGTCCCGTGTCTTCCACTGACATAATCTTTTGTTTATTTTATCAGTCACTCTCTAGCAGCATTGAAGGGGGAGCAAAATGGTTGGTCAATAAGCTCAAAGGTGCTGTATCTAAGCTCCAGTTTCCATCAATTTGCATCTTTATTTCTGTCTGCCTCATGTTGTCGGAGTGAAAAACATAATGTTTTTGACATAGTTTCTCCTTTCATGTTACTTTAGATGGACCTTCATGTTTATCTGCTTGTTTTAGATTATTTCGTAATTTCAATACTTGATGTTTCTCTGACACATTTTTTTACTTAATTCATTTGCTTTGTTTTTTTTATGTGTTGAGTTCCTGCATCTTGAATACACATTATTGTCTGCCCCAAATGATTTTCCTGTTCTTTTTTCCCATCATTGTTCTCTTTAATTTCACTTTTCATCTGCAATGCTAACTCTTGATGCAATTTTGAAACACTTGATGCATTTTGGCTTCCTACTTATTTTCCTTTTAACACGTTTCTATCAGATTTTTGGTCCGCAAGGAATTGTGACATGGTTTCGGTATACTTGCATTGCAAGCATAAGAAGTCATTTATATGCTAAACTAACAGGTGCATCTTTTGCACCTATTGGAGGCTATAAGCTAGTCAAGTCCATTACACAATAGGTATCTTCTGCAATGACAACCCGAGTCCATCTTTTGTTATGTATCTCATTGTATCTATACCACCAGTCGAAGCTTCAATGTTTCTCCATTGCTTCAAGACCCATTTGGAGAATCTTTGGCCTCAATATAAATAGTGCTGCCCCAATGTTCTATTCTGTTTCTTGCTGATTCAGGTCATATAGTATAAAATTTCAAGCGAGTAATTTTAGAAATGACTTAACAGAGGTAGTTTGGCGAGGTATAGGACATAGCAAGTTCATCTAGAATTAGATAGAATCCTCACATTTCTTTGGTTTCTCCATGAAATTTCTTCTGTATGGTCTTCAATGAATCTCCTAACATTAGCACAAAGTACAACAAACGTTCATTTTTATGGTTCTGTAGCAAAATTACTTTGTTTATGTTAACATATATTTGCTCTCAACTAACTCGAATCAAAGGATGTTTATACATGTTTTAGACTTTTGGTCATTTCTTTCTGATAACTCAGATTTTTTTTGTTTGAGAGTGTGTATTTGTGCCACACATGGCAATGGTTCTAATCCCCAATCAATTTGTGTACTTGACCAAACTCATGGAACGACTGTTTTCTTCCAGGAAAGATGCAGAAATCATTGCCTGAACTCCTGAGGGAATACGATATGCCGATAGGCCTGTTTCCTCAGGATGCAACTCACTACGAGTTCAACGAAGAGACAGGGAAGCTCACTGTATACATACCCTCCATATGCGAGGTTGGCTACAGGGATTCTTCGGTCTTGCGCTTTTTAACCATCGTGACCGGTTATCTAGAGAAAGGAAAGCTGGTCGAGATCGAAGGGATCAAAACCAAAGTGCTGATTTGGGCAAAAGTGAATTCCATCACCACCGAGGGATCCAAAATCCACTTCACCACTGGAGTGAAGAAGACCAGGAGCCGTGATGTATATGAGGTGCTTAGAGGTGGTATCACCGTGGACAAGTTTTAGGCTGCTATGAGATGGTTTACTAGTGTGCGTAGTGCATAAGCTACCATGTGATTGATGTGGGACTCTTTGAACCTTGTCAATCCTCCTATCTCAATAATTATATCATCTTCGAATTGTGGTGACATATCAGTGGTTTCTTGCTCTTATTTCTTCTCCTTCCAGGCTATGGTGAGGTGATTTATGTAAAAGGATGAAAGAAAATAATGTTCAAGACCACCCAACTTGGCAAAGTCCAATAAACTGCATGATGATAATGGTGCCAATAATATAGTGTGATAATCGAAATCAATTTCCGATTCCGAGCATGATTATTATTTATATTACCAAGAAGAAAATTTGTACAGACACAATTTTCAAGTGGATGTGGGAATAAATACACATTCACAGCAACAGTCACAGCAGCATGCATGACAGCGGCTGGCTTTTATCGGGCGATACAACATGTTTCTATATAAGATTTAGAACATGGAATCACTTCTGATCATTCATCTGTTCAAAGAAGGACTTCATTGCTTCGTATGTCGACCAGCAAATGGCCGCTGCTGGTGCATGAAACAGCATTCTAGGTTTCCATCCTCTCATCAGCCCGGCATAGCCGTCGCGCCTTAATATGGCCCGTATCACCTCACCTGTCGAGCTGCTGGAGAATCTATCGCAGCCGCAAACACCCTGCTCAAAAGACAACGAAGAAAAACCCACTTCAATTTTAGCTTACCAAAAGGAAGCAGATCATGCAGATGATCGACTCCCTCCATGGGAATCAAGTACATAGAAACCATCGACAGATTACAGATGGAACGAAAATACATGGACATGACTAAATAGCAAGTTTAAAGGCATAAAACAGAAACTGCTAGCATCATCACAAACTTGAATTTTCTGTAGGTAAACAAATAGCAAGTCAAATATCATTAACTGAAGCCCCAAGATGAAGCTTTGCATCCCTTTAAGATAAGGCTTTGGCATCTCTTTGACATGCAAATCAGAATACAATCCTTAGTGCTGTCCTATCATACACAAAGACAATTGATTCGATTCTCATATTACGCATGAAGATAGGGTGCCAATCAACTTTTTGAAATGGCATGCAACAATCCTGTAAAAGAACAAAGAACTTAGGAAAGCAATGGTCAAGAGTTCTTTGGAATTATAGGACATCCTTATTTTCTGTTGTCTTCTGCTACCAATGCACTAATGTTAGTTCCATCTCATAACTTAATATCAGCTGACATACTGCTTCTCAAAATTTCATGTTGGTTGTTCGACAATAAAATATATGCTTTCAGGTTGTGCATATGATTGTCATTATCATGTTTGTTTCCACCCCACCATAATAAGTAAAGAGTTATTACTTGATCCTACATAACTTATTTCCTTGAAGGAGGACAATATTATGTGAAACCTCTACATTGTTCTTTAAGAGTCACAAACTAAAAGCATCTTCCATTATAGTTTCAAATGCATAATCTTATGCAAAGATCCCAATAAGTTCTGAAGAATGATTGGAGCTGTCTCCTCTGTAATGAATTGTAGCTTTCATTACTAGTAACAAAATCTTTCTACCCCTTTATCTAATATGTGAGATTTTATGAGCTCAGTGAGCTATATGATTCTGCAAAGTATTATCAGCAAAGGATTCATGATGTCAATCAACTACATAATTTACAGAATCAAGCTCTTCAATATGGGGGACACACAGGAGTTCAGAGATTAAGCACAACTTCAAGGAACAGAACACTCAACATGAGAACTGCATCTAGTAAAAGCAAAACAAAGATTCAATCTTTACTCTAATGTGATTGTATAGATTGGCTTAGAAGCTTTACCTGACACTGCAACTGCGTCTTGACCACATCAAGCGGTGTGGTGACGGCCGCTGCCAAGGCACCTGCAGCTGCACCGGCGGTGGCGTGCACCACCAGCCGCTCATCGCTTGCGTTCTCCGGTGAGACTTCCATCAGCCCCCTCTTCGCCGCCTCATACGTCGCGAAGTGCACGGCAGTATAGGGGGCGTTCATCACCACGGTCGTCCTATACGAGACGAAGAACGCCCTGATGCCCTCCTCCCTCAGAACTCTGGAGATGCAGTCCGCGACCCCCTTGTACGGGCTACTCTTCAGCTGGAGGCGCTGCTTCACGGTGTCCATGGGCGTGAAGACGGCGTCGCTGGCGACGGTGGCGAGCACCCCGGAGGCGGCGTGGGCCACCGGATTGTTGGGGTTCTCCCGGGAGAGCGACTCCTTGGATATCTCGTAGACGGAGAAGTAGACGGCGTGGGCGGGGCCGGCGCCGAGGCTCATGGCGCCGAGACCGCGGTAGAGGCCGAGGGCGCCCTCGGCGCGGACGACAGAGAGGACGGCCTGGCGAAGGCCGAGCGGCCGGTGGCATGCTGGGGAACCGGCCTGCATCCGGGTCTTAAGGGTGTCCACAGGGAACATGGCGGTGTGCTCGACAAGACCAGCGACGGACCCGGCCACCATGAACTGCCAGAAGCGGAGGCCGTCGTGCTGCTGCGCGACAACAAGGTCGGCCGCCGGAGGGATGAGCTCCGGCCGGCGGAACTCGGCGGAGGCATCGGCCATGGGGAAAGATCAATCTTTGGAGGGTGGGGTTGAGCAGAACGATATTAAAAGGCGAAGGATCGATCGGGAGCTTGTCTCCATGCAATAATTTAGGGGATTGGGAGAGGGGAAGCGTCACATCGGATCAAAAGAGGATGGGGGGAGGGGAGGGGAGGAGGAGAAGATTTTGGATGGAAGCGTTGGTGGACGGGCCTAGTGCGCATCCGTTCGCTTGATAGGGTTTCGTTTCGGCGACGCCTGCTTTCGCTTTCTGCACTCTCTCTCTCGATTACTTTGTTGTTGTGCGACCCTTTCGGTGCGTGGATTTCCTTCTTCCATCTCCTCTTCTGCTCTCACCGTCGTCGTTTTCTTCAAAGAGAACATTGCGACGCTCGTTGCCGCCTCCAAGAGGCGGTCATGTACGGGGCAAGCAATTTAACGATGGCTGCCCAATCCACGCCACGGTTCAGCAATCAGGAATCACATTCTTCGCGGGCCCACCTCAAAAAGAGCAGAGAACGGTTTGGTGTCGTGTCGCTCCGATCTCTTAGTGGTGAGTCAATCTAAAGCCTGCGTGGAACGTCACAGCTGAGATCAACGTAATCGGAGGACGACGAGAATCTCCATTGCTTTCACATCTACAGCGTCCATTCTTTCACTTATCAGATCTCTACCGTCAATGACGATAAGGCAGTTAATTGGGGATGAACCCGGGTCTTCCACCACGGACGGTTCAGATGTGATGATTTTAGTGATGGACGGTTTAGATGACACACTTGGCGCTTTTAAAGCTATAGTACAGCACGGCAACCATCCCATTCCGTGATGGGCGCTAACGCCTTTAACGAGCAGAAAAAATCTTGCGCAGAACATGTGGTTGCGCGCGCCATGGCTCGTGTCCTCCACACCTTCGGCCGCCATCCTCCCCCGCCGTGGTCATCCCTTTCGTGCCTGTGCACGCCACACTTGCGTCCGCTAGCTCCCACACTCCCCTTCGCCGCTGAACCACGACAAACACCTTATGCGGTGTGTGCGAGAGGAACCGTTGTCCCTCGCGTCGCGCTCTTCTCATCCGCTCCTCATCCACTGACGTCGGCTTCGGAATCGAGCCATTTTCTAGGCGTCACATCCGGGCGTCGAAGTGGGAAGTCTTGACACATCGTTGTTGGTGAGTGCTAGCTGGTCGTCACTGAGGTGACTGCTAAGAAAGATAGAAGAGAATGAGCATTCCTCGTCGTATGCTTCATGGCTCTTCAGCGAAGGGGCAGTCCGTAAGGTGAAGAGCGATCTTATAGCAGTCGTACCCATCAATGACAGAGATGCATTTGGTGGTGGTGAAACCGGTGGCCATGCACATTATTGAAACAAGCAAGAAGCTTAGAACATGTCGTTTCATTTCCCCATGTATTCGATCCGGAGAATATCCACCTCCATTGTATTTTAATGAATGTTATTAATATCCAAACAGAAGTACTTATTATGTTTTACGATTATAAATCAACAATATCAATTATTATTTACTAAAATCATTTTATCCCTATCAATATCAAATGGATCATGTGCATTGAAAGCTCATCCAATCTTATTATTCATGCAGATACACCTCGAAGCAAGTGCCCGAGTCCCGTCAACTCTCTAGTGAGCATTCGAGTCGTCTGACTTCTTTCTTATTCGTGTTAAGATTTCAATCACTCCTTAGAGAGAAAAGAGAACAAAAAGTAAGAAACAATAAGCAATCTAAAATATTCTTCTTGCTTGTAATCACTCTTCCACTTTCTCTCCTGTAATCCTTATCAAGGATTAGGACATGTCAAGAGAACAAGTCTAGGATTACGATCCTTATAAAGTCTAGTCTAACAATCCTTTAGAGGTTAGCATGTGGGAGTGTCTTATCTTGCAGGATATTAAACTTGATATGGATAGTAATCGAAGATGGTTGAGACTCTTTCTCTTGTCATGTCCTAATCCAACATACTAAAATCTAGTTCATGACACTGTTGACCAGGAAATGTCTTGTCACTTAGTTCAGTTCGTGTAATTATTGCCTTTGTTTTTAGTGCAGTCTCATCCACTACTAAATCCCAAGCTAGAGACAAAAAACTTCTTGTTGGCTGGTCCATCAACTTAGCTTAACGCAAAGAACTACACTGCATGTGAGCACATACTGTAGTTCTCTAACACCAAGAACACTTCACCAACCCACATAGCAAACAGCAAGTAACACCAGGAAAAGAATCATCATTGAGATGCAGAGTTAAGCTACAAAAGTTGTTGTTTTCCTTCTGTTGGACAGGAAAAGGATGATCGAAGAGTCCAAGCTTGATCTGTGATTTATATGTAGATTGGAAATGGCCAACAAAGTGTCATTTTGTTTTGTCTGCAGGAGTTTGAAAGGTATATTAATCAAGCTTTTGGATGACTTCATGTTCTTACAGCAACAACAATGTATATATAGCAGCCAGCTAGATGACAAAAGGAATTGTCTTAGCGAGAACAAAAGGAATCTTCCAGTTTGTGTCTTCACCTAAACATAACAATGATAGGGACATGTACATGGATGAAGCACTGAATCCACAAAGAAGCTCCGTTCAAGCAAACGCTTGGGAACAGGAACAAGGCTTCTATGTCCATGGATTCTCTCTCTTGAGAGGCTCATGGGGTACATTGCTCGAGGAGGATGGGTAGTTCGTCAACTGGGCCACGGCGCTGAGGTCACTCTGCATGAGATACTGCATGCCATCAGCGTCCATCAGCTGCGCCTGCTGCATCTGAATGCAAAGCATCTCAGCTTGAGCCAAGGCCAGCTGCATCTGGAGCTGAGACACTTGATGCTGGAGGTAAGAGATGGCTCCGACGCAACCATAAACTGGATCCCTCATCCTTGCGTTTGCTTCGTAGACCAAGCTGCTTACTGCATCCGCTCTTTGATGAAGAGGAAGCTCCTGTAGTCAACCAACGTAAACTATCGGTAGACAAAATAGAAGAACAAAGAAGAAGAAGAAACCTGTAGCATTTTGCTAACGTTGCTTGCACCAAAGACCCTGTGGACCATTGCGAACTTGTGGGGTTCATCGGAGGGGAAGAAGGGCGCGAAGACGCAGTCCGGAGTGCAGCGCCTCCGTAGAAGCTTGCAGGAAGCGCAAGGCGAGTGGCTACCCATTGCTTAGGCCACCAAAGGAAGAAGGAGGGAAGGAAGATGTCTGGTTGCAGATGAATACACTTGGTACAGTGCAAGGTTGCCTCTCAGGTTCAGATGAGCTGGAACTATATGGAGATGGGATTGCCTATTTATGATCGAACCCTAAGTTAAAACCTTTAACAATCATAGATTATAGTAGTCAAAAAAATAGGAAAGATTGTTTCTATTGGTAATGATAACATATAAAACTAGGCTACAGTGTACACGCTTGTCCTCGAGCATGTTATCATGTGATGAACATACTGGAATACATACTCTACATACGGTCAAATACACAGTCACATTACATTAAGCTACGTGCCGTCCGTGGCCATTGTTGATCGGATGCTAAGTTGACATGGAAGGCTTGAAGCAGTGCAGAGCTGAGTCTTAGTTTTATATGATGTCAACAAGAAACTATTATTGCAGTGCATACCTAATGCAGTGTTTGTCCACAACTGGTCCTCATCATTTCCTGTTCCTAATTGGTGCAGCGAGAGCAGGTAAGTTGATCAGCAAGAGCAAGTAGTTTTCAAGCAGAAGCAAGAGTTTGAAGTATGTAACACCAATATGCAGGATATTATTTTCTATTGCAAGGGAAGAAGCAAGCAGAACCAATCCAACCACAAACCACGTAGTGCTAAATTCTTGGCATCACAAATCATGTAAGTACCAAAATCTTAGCATCATTCACTTATCGTAGAACAAGTTCAGAATGATTCAGGCTCAGAGGATTGAACTCATGAAGTGCTTAGACATCCTCTGGAAGTTTTAGTGCAAAATTCTAGTTTGTCTTATACAAAACTACCACAAAGTAAGCAGATCAACACCAAACAAATAAGAGCAAGAAAGCAAAAAAGGTGCCACCTTGAATCATCATGCTCCACCGTGCAACCAGCGTTTGATGAATAGACGTAGAAAATGATGTGCGGAGTGCAATAGTGTACCGGCAATCACCTACTGATGGGTCCACAGTTGTTATCAATCCCAGGCCGCCAAAATCACAACTATCCGCACTCTGATCATGAAGCTGAAAATAGTTGTTGAAAGCATATGACACATTTCCGGGCCAGCCGATCCCAGAGCAAGAGCCACCAGGAGACAAAGCAGAGCAATCAGCAGCGGAACAGGCTTCTGATGCACTGCCGGAAACATTTGATATGTCCTTGTTGTTATTCACTACACACCACTTTTGCGCCAGGTAGTCCACATCATGAGCACTTGCCAGAGCTTTTGAGCCTTGGCCAAGGTCCACATTGTATTTTGCCTGACCGTCAAATGTGAAAATGCCCCAGTGTCTTTCATAATTCCCAGTCTTAATGCTCCGTTGATCTTCATCTAGTAGACTGAAGATATATGTCTCTCTTGGTGGTCTCTTTGGTCTAAGTGGAGTACCAGCTTTGCTCTGCAGGTGGTCAACGAGGCCTTGCATGAAGATCTGGGCAACAGCAGGTGTGGCATTCATTGCACCATCCGTAGGCCATCCTATCTTCCCGACAATTATATCCATTTCAGCATACCCAACCTTTGACAAAGCTGAAACCAATGTGTCGATGCTCATATCAAAGTGGTTTCTATACTTGTTTGGTCCATCGGATAATGCATGAGAATTTGTCTGGAAGAGAACAAAATCCAGGGAAAGGTTCTTCTTTTGTTGAAAGGTCAAGAAAGGATTGATGTCAACCACAAAGGGTGAACCATGCTTGTCAAGAAAAGAGAGGAGCTCAATCATAGTCTTGTTGAGATCAGGCCTAAAGTGACCCTTCGAAGGTAGGTTAGACTCAGATTGGTATACATCAGAACTGCAAGGAACAATGACTTTTACCGTGTTTGCTAAATTTGCAGCAGTCAGGGCTCGCTGAATGTTTGTTGCTGCACCAACTACATGGGGCTGGAATGTTTGACCATAACTGAGGAGGAATGCTTCATCACCAACAGCAATAAACCTGTCAATTTATAGTCTTGTCAATATATCGCTTTGTGAATGTCCTTTTCTACACCAAGTTAATGTGGTTACATACTAATATGCCAATTTTAACATCTTCATGCAATATAACATAGTATATCTTAGCAGAAGAAGATATGGGTAAGAGGAAACAAACATAAGATGGCAAGTCAACATTGTTATCCATAATTTCAGCTTAAAACCACTGACAATATCAAAAAAGTATCAGCTCTCATAGGGCCATAAAATCAATCACTAAATCCAAATTTTGCTTGGACCAGATTTTCTTGGCAACAAAACATAAGCTGTCTTGATATACCAACTGGCGTAAATCTGGAAGTCGACAAACTTTTTCCCTTCCAAGAGTCCAAACAAACAACTTAACTTTCAGCAGCTCACTGCTTGACTGCTTAATTTTGACCATAATTCACTGTCAACTTTAGTGCATTGCAGATTAGTTAACCATAATTCACTGTCAATTTTGACCATAGTGCATTTAATAAACAGAGAGTTCAATTTCACCTCATCAGTTATGTTCTTACACAATCTATCAACCAAATGTAAATGCAGCAGTGTTAGCTAAGGCAAGAGCGAAATCTGCTAGCGTCCAATCATAGTAGGAAGGGGGAAGGACACAAACAGTTTTCCATCAAAGATATTATCGAAGTTGCCAGATGTTGTGACCAAGAAATCCAGTAATTATTTGGTAGCATGTGACAGTGTGCCAAAACAGGTTTACCTTGAAGAGTTGCTGCATCTAATAGCGCATGATATCATTTAGCTTTACTCGAACTGCAGAATTTTTTATGCATGGAAGACAACTGCAAAAGATTCTCATTACTTGCCTAAAGTACCCAAGACACATTCTTCCACGAAAACTAATCATTCTTCATATGCACCTTAGGTAGCTCATATACTTGAAGGAGAAGTGAATCCGAATGCAACTTATCACTACTATCATTGCAATTTATAAAGGCATCCAAGGCCACTCTTGAGTTCTTGATGTAGAAGGTCATCCAAGACTAACGGTACTCTTACTATTAAAGCTTCCAAACAGACTTAAATCAAGCTCTATCCCTTTTGCCATGTTCCTCATCTTCTTTCAAGCTATAATACCTCAAGATATGTCCCAGATGATGACACATGCATATGTACAGGGACAACATAAGGCATGGAATAATCATAACAAATAATGCCTAAGATTTTCAAAATCTGAAGATCTTAGTTCGACTCTGTTTCAACTTTCAAGTGGCACCCAGTTGCACACGCATCTAAATACCTTGAAGTTTATTAGACAGGGAAATGCTTGAATTCCTATCAGTTTCCTAGTGGCATTTCAAAGTTGTTTTTCGTTAAGAAGGTAGTGTGTCTTATATCAGTAAATGCCAGTTCAGTTGAGCTACTCTCATCCTCAGCGCAGCCTTATAGAGATGCCAATGCAGATCATAGTGCAAGAGAAACATATACTGCAACCAAATACAAGTCATAAACTTATCATGTATGACGACAAACGGCCACGAAGAGGACAAGGAAAATTTGCAGTGGCATGATCACTTTGGGCCCATATCTTACTGATGTCTCGTTCAAATGGCGAAGCTACATAGTGGATGGACAATCACAATCAACAATCAAACACGACAAAGAATTAAAGAGCATAATGCAACACAGACAACAAAGAATCACTCGATCTGCGCAAGCATTAAGAGTTACCACAACTTAATACGAACTCTGAGCATAAACCCATTAACCGAGCTAGGGTTCTAAAAGCAAAATGCTAACTTTGAGAAGAAAAAGATCGAGTAGACAATACCTAAACATTATTTCATTTCGAAACGAGTGTGCAATTACAATCGCCAAGTTTCCTTTTCTTAACCCTAAAATCAATGATAAACCCCAAACAAAAAGGAGAAGAAGAGAGAGAAAGGACTTACTCGATTCGAACACTGCCGCCGCCAGTGCTGGAGACGTAGCGGGTGACGTTGTCGTGGACCCAGCTGACGGCGGCGGACTTGGAGGAGCTGAGGGACCGGAGCATCTCGTTGGGGACGCCGATAGCCACGGCGATGCCCGAGCCAGCGAGGCTGGCGAGCACGGAAGGGTCGGCGTCGGGGAGCTTCACCCGGGAGACTCTGTTGGCCTGGAGGAGCCCCGGCACGACCACGGACGGCGGGAGAGGGTGGGAGGCGGAGGAGGATGTCCCCCAGTTGACGCCCACCGCAGTGGCGCCCCACCCTCTTCCCCCCCACCATGAGGCCGGCGACCAGGCCACCAACAGCAGCAGCAGCAGCAGACGCAAGAAAAGAATCGAACGGCGATTCGACTGCATTCTGTGCCTCTTCTCTCTCTCCCTCTCTCTCTCTCTCTCTCTCACACACACACACACACACTCTCTCTCTCTCACTCTCTCTGTCTGCTGCGATGTTGGTCGCATTAAAGCAGAACAGAGGGAGCCGGCGGAGCCTGAAACACTTGAGACACAGAATGTTTTACGTACTTTCCACTCTCCCTTCACGTTACCCGCCCGTCAACCTTCCATTTCATTGGAGGAAACAAGGGTCCACAAATAGAGCCGTTTATTTGACAACATGCACCTCCAATAAAAAGACCGGTATCAGAGAGTAAACTGAAAACGAGTAAATAAAATAGTTCTTGGTTCCTTTTTCAGTAGTTGTTCGACTGATGGTAATCGTACGTCCACTGTGATTTGACGAGGAATAGCGAGAAGAGAATGCTTTGGGTTGGGCTAAGGTGTGCCATATGGGTTCACGAATATGGCCCTTAATTGATAACGAAATAAAGTATAAAAACGCCCACCGTGGGGCTCGAACCCACGACCACAAGGTTAAGAGCCTTGCGCTCTACCGACTGAGCTAGACGGGCTTGTTGTTTTGATTTATCAAATCCTATATATAAGTATAATAAATCATAATATATGTACGAATAGAACAAATGTTAATATGCTTGATCTGGTAAATAGGTAATTGAATGAATGCTTATTATAAAGTAATAAGCTAGATTGGAGAGCAGGTCTCTACGGCCACAATGTATAATACGACTTTGTGAAATGATAAGAGTAAACAAAGTAAGTGAAGGCTTTTGGCAACGAAAAATGTTTGGCTTTTAGGAAATTAGGATAGATTATTTCTTTACAAAGGCGGGTGGGAGGTCAAGATGAGAGTCACATGCAATGCACGTAAATATGGGAATATCAATTATATTTGTGGGGTCACGAAAATAACTATAAAGATGAGGGCATTTTATACTATATGCACAAAACACTCTTCATTCATTAATACATGAGCTAGAGTTGAGAAACTAGGTGGATTGAACTTTTGCAATTCAAATTATAAACTGGGTGAACTTTGATTGGATCCATTGGGCACACTCAATTACTGTGATGATCGATGATTCCGATTGCAAACGATAAATAAATGAAAAACGATAATGGAATCTATATTCTTTTTTTTTTTTTTTACTCCAATGGATCCATTGGGCACACTCAATTACTGTGATGATCGATGATTCCGATTGCAAACGATAAATAAATGAAAAACGATAATGGAATCTATATTCTTCTTTTTTTTTTTACTCCAATGGCACATACGCCCACCGTGGGGCTCGAACCCACGACCACAAGGTTAAGAGCCTTGCGCTCTACCAACTGAGCTAGACGGGCTTGTTGTTTCAATTTATTAAAAGTTATATATGTTTTATTATATATATATATATATAGAACAAATGTTAATATGCTTGATCAGGTAAATAGGTAATTGAATGAATGCTTATTATAAAGTAATAAGCTAGATTGGAGAGCAGGTCTCTACGGCTACAATGTATAATGCAACTTTTTGGCAACTTTGTGAAATGCTATATATATATATATATATATATATATATATATCTTTTAATTACTAAAACGTTTTGAAAGAGTAAACAAAGTATAGACTTTTAGGAAATTGGGATGTGTTATTTCTTTACAAAGGCGAGTTGGGAGGTAAGATGAGAGTCACTTTCGATGAATGTGAATATGGGAATGTCAATAATATTCATGGGGTCGCCCATAATAAGGTGGGAATAGAGAAAATAAACGAAACTAATTATAAAGATGAAGGCATTTTATATTATATGCACAAATATGAGGTACACTCTTCTTTTCGTACCCATATTTAGTACTCATATTTGATTCTTTAATATATGAAATGAATTGAGATATTAGGTCAAAACACTATATGGGTTAAGCTTTTGATAATCAAATTAGATTTGGTGAATTTTGATTGGATCAATTATAATTTAATCTGGAATATCTTCCCGTTCAACCTAACAACTGCTACATGTGGCCTTACACATTATGCATACTTAATCTCTAATCACAAATAATATCATAATGATTATTTGACTATTTTTATCGATCCTCCTCTCTCTATTGGTTAAAACAATGACTCTTTCAATAATTAACAATTGCAGAACGGTGAACAAGATTCCTCGATATTCTTTGTTCTTTTTCATCATTCTCTTGGTATAACAATAATTCCTCGATTTTCTTTTCTCTTTCTCATCATTCTCTTCATATAGAATACTCCCTTCTCCCTCCTCCCTCTTCCCGACTTCCCCCTTCATCATAGCACCATCGCCTCTTTACCATAATATCCCTCCCTACCCACCCCGCCTCATCGACCATCATAACCCTTGCTCCTCATGCCTTTCCCCAATCCTCTTTCGTCTTCCTCTTATATTTCTCATTAATTATGATAATTTTGATTATATTTATGTTTAAATATATTTACTTTTTATTATATTTTTTTAATATTTTTAATTAGGTTTGATAATAATTTTATTTTTTTTAAAAAATAAATAAAATTAATTAGAAAGATACAAGGATCCGCGAGTAATCCTCTTTCACCCCATTTAAATGGGGAATTGGATGGGGAGGATTTACTATATAGATAGAAACTTCCATTCTAATGTGAATCATTTTGCATTCATAAAGAAATCACAAACCAATGCATGAATTTTTCATAATGCCGAACATGCCAACACACAAACTTGGATTCATTGCAAACATGCCAACATACAAACAAATGGGTGTTTGATGCATTTTATGATTTGAGGTTTACCGTATGCAGTCTTATAATAAGCAAATACTTCTTATCTCAGCACATGATATAATGTGCAAGAGAGAAATGTTAATGATCTTGGCATGGGAAGAGTAAATAATACCTGCAAAAGGGATACAACCATTCAAGTATCATCTAACAGCTTTGAGGAAAATAAAAGGACCGATCAGGGGAATCTCGACATTTAGAGCATCTCCTCGTACAACATGCATAATCTACCAAAGACCTGCTATGTTCGACATGGTTTCACAAATAGCTGATCTGGATTTGGCTCATGAAGGCATAGAAATGTTCATGTGCTAGTCTATGGAGCAGGAATCTCGCGCAGAAAACTAAGTTGAGATTGCAAACTACTGTCTGAGGATGCCGGGATCAGTGGCTGATAGCCAAGGCTGTTACCAACAGACCCAGAATGAGGAAGGGCTGAGCACTAGCCTGCTTGTGAACAATGAACATAGTGGAGATATCTTGTTACTCCATGTATTAATGAAGTTGTCAAAGGAAAGACATGATACATGAGCAAACAAAGAGATCACCTGGTATTTGACATCATTCTTAACAGGGTCTTTCAAGAAGTATTGAAACTGCAAAGAGAAAGTTGTATATGTCAGTATAAGAACTGTCATTGCTATGTCTGACATCCAAAAGAAATGTCTCCATGACTGTTTTCAGTCAAACTGAAAGTGTGTGGAGAAATGTGCAATATAGGTTATCGCTATGTCTTTCAATAAATTGCAATATGTCTTGGAAACTTGTAGCCTCACATGCTTTTGGTAGATGATTGTTCAGATTGCAATAGATCTTCCCTAATCCTCTATTCACGAACTTATGACAAGGATTGTTGTGCTCTAGATTCTTACCTGAAAATATACTTGGGGAAGGATCAGTCCAAGCAGGGCTAAGGCATAGAATGGTTTATCAGCACCAAGCAGGTAACCTGCACTTACCACCAAATCAAGAACATGAAAGAAACTGTTGCATTTGAAATTCTATAGCTAACACCATTGCTTTAAAATATGCTAGAAACAGGTTGATTTCATCTCCTCCAAGATCTTATTTGGAACTGTAAATGTTTACATGAAGCAAATGTTAGGGAAGTTTCGATGCAAAAAGGACTCCCGGGAAAGAAGGAACAAACTCCATGACTCTGCCATTGCAAGCAGGACAGACAAGCAAGATAACAATCATTATATATTCATATGGTGTTTGAACTCTGATTTACTCTTGTTACCTATGGATTTGACAAAGCATATTCGAGACAAAGTCGCATGCTATTTGTTAATAGGCACAAATCCAATTCATGGCATTTAAAGTTCAAGTCAAAATAGGGAGAAATGTAAGACAGATTTGATCTGTTCATCATAAGAACAGTAAAGAAATTCTGGATGGTAATGGTAACTTGAACCAACGAATTAAAGTAAAGCTGAAAGTTGTTGTCAATGCCTACACAATTGTAAAACTTACCATACCTCCAATAAAAGTGGCAACTGATAAGAACATGACATGTATTAAACACAAAGTCGATTATGGAAATTCGGGAGAGTAGAACGTACCATGTGTCCAAAATCTCTAATGTTGTTTGTCATTTGGCTGTTTATCTTGAAAATAATCCATTTTGCCTTGGAATATTAATATCTTAGATAAGTTTCCTTCAGAACATTATACAAGTATTGTGTACACAGAACCGAATTGCAGGAAAAAAAATCCATTTGAAAAGCTTCCTATTTTTTTTTTTTATTGGTTAGACTCTATTTAGTTATGCTAAAATTTCTATGCCTAGATATGAGGGTACATTACCCTGTTACCAGCCTCCAGATGTTTCTTGTAAATTGGAAGTAATCAATAAGTTGCAAGTCCAGAATCTTATATTTGTTAGAAATATCCAAAGACCCCTGTAGAAATGCACGAGAATCAAAAAGCCAAAAATAGTAAGACAATTAAACATACCTGCTACCGATAACTGTGTTATGTCAATAGCACCCACACAAATCCACTTGGCAGTATCAATACCAAAAGCAACTGGAAGTGACTGTCAGAGTGCCAGAGAGATCAGTGACAAAATACATTGACATCAATGTCTAGTCTGCCAAACACTAATTTTCTGGAAATATGATCTATGTACAAACCTGAAGTCCCATAGCCCTGTCTCCTTCAATGCTTTTAAAATCATTTACTATTGCAATTCCTAGCTGAACAAAGAGAACAAAATGTCACATTTAATCAACTTATAAGTGCAA